TATTTTTGAAAATAAAGTTGTATATAACAGCAATTTGTAGCTTCATGTTCTTTTTCTCTTTCATGGTATATATGGAAATGCTCATTTATTTACTATTTGTTAAGTTCAGAACAAAAACAATCAGGGAGGAAGAGAGGAAAGGAAGAAAATAGGGAGGGAGAGAAGGAAGGACAAAAGGAAGGAGGGAGGGAAAGAAGGAAGGAAGGAAAAGTTAAGAGGAAAGAAGGAAGAAAGGAAGGAGGGAAGGAAAGAAGGAAGACAAGGGAAGGAAGGAAGAGAAGAAAGGACAAAGAGAGGGGAGAAAGAAAGGCAATATCTGCCTGCCACCTCCTCCCACCCAGGTAGTTTTAGGTCACTGGGGGTAGGTTACTTCCCTCCTTCCTTACTTCCTTCCTTTCCTCCTTCCTTCCTCTTTACTTTTCTTTCCCTTCTTCTTTCCCTCCTTCTCTCCCTATCTTCCTCCTTTCCTCTCCTCCTTCCCTCCTTCCTTCCTTCCTGATTGTTTTTGTTCTGAACTCAACAAACAGTAAATAAACAAGCATTTCCATATATACCATGAAAGAGGAAAAAGAACATGAAACTACAAATTGCTGTTATATACAATTTTATTTTCAACATGATCACATGAATTATATTTTGTTTAATGCTTATCTTCACCAGAGCACTAGAGGCACGTGATAAATGCATACTGAATGACCACATAGCATTGATTGTTTGAAGTACTTCTCAGTGAAATGATCAGCAGGTGCCCCTATCTGACCCAATGCTAAGTGGAAAAGTAATAGTTTTTATGAGCAGATGTAGCTATCTGATTGAGCCTCATGTATTTTCTGACGTATAGCTTTGGTTTTTCAAAGTGAGGCAGGGCACTGGAAGACATTTATTGGGTGAAACAAGTCAACCATAACAACGCAAAATAACTGAGTAGCTTTCGCAGATAATTCATTTCGAAACAATTTCTTCCCCTGAAGTGCTGTTGAAAACTGGTGGGCTCTGATGGTAGAAGGATGCTTGCTAGCTTCCAATGAGACCTGAGGGTGCCTCCTCCCTCCTTCCATGTAAGTTTTTGCAGATGGGGACATGGAGGCTCATTTGAAAAGTACTAATGTGGTGGGACACACTCCACAGATTAACAGCTTAGGGGACCTGGTAAGGAAATGTCACTGTCTTTGTGTTCTTAAAAGTGTTGTGAATGTGCTTGTGGATCAACCAGAAGGTGAGATAACACAAGGAGAGCTTTGGGGTCAAGTAGAGGTAGGTGACCACTTACTGGTCATATTACTGAGGGGATGCCTTTTGGGGTAGGAGTATAGACCACACGGCCACTGAAGTCCATTCCAATTCTGCCTCTACACAGAACATTCCAAATAATTCTATGTTTATCATAACCTTGGTAACATTTATGTTTTTAAAGTTTATAAAATCTTAAGCTTGTTTTATCTCATTGGAAGATCATAGTAACCTTGTGAAGTATTTCCTGATTTTACATATGTGGAAACTGAGATTCAGAGAGGGTAGGTGAATTTTTGCCATGTTCACCCAGGTAATAAATGTCAGGATAGGATCTGAAACAAGATCTCTCTCTGACAAGGCCAAGCACCATATTTTTTGTATTTTCTATAAATAATCGTTTCTGAACTGCACATTTAGGGGAGGATGACCCTGTCTATTATATCCCTTCTTCTCATGTAGCCCAGGCACCATTTTATACATAAAGTCTTTCACGATCAACCCAACTGCCAGTGCTCTCCCTTCCAAATGACCTCACAGCTCATGAACATGGGCCTCTATGTTATGTCTCTTCATGTCCTTTGTTGTTTTAGATGAAAGAATTTGGAGACGGTTATGACTTTGAGTGCTTCAAACGTCTGGAGAGTGAGCCATAGAATCTAGGAGCTGGGGGTTCATGCCAGTATCTGCCTAAAGCCAGCCGGTGAGGAGCAAGAGTCAAAGGGACCATCTTGTCTACCTGGGAAATAGTTAAGTAGCAGATCTATAGATCATCCACCCACCAACCACACTGTATTTGGAAGTGAACTTGGTGGGGTGAATCTAAGAAGAAACAGAGTTAAGTTTGAGCCCTTTTCCTCAGAGACCAATATGGTATAGGAGAGAACGTGTTGCTCAGTGGTTGGGGGGATTAGGGGAGGAGAGAATGTCTGTATTTTTGATCTTGCTATATCTCTTCAGTAAATATCCATTTGTAAAAGCTCATTGGTGTTAATCAGTAATGAAATTGAGGTACCAATCAGTTAATAAGAACCACACCCTGAAGACAGGCTCAAAACAATAGCATTAGAAAAGACACCCCACTTAACCCTTCAAGTTTACTCTAGATTATAACCTAGAAGGGGAGATATAAATGGCTTTGCTCTGAAAGAAAGAATCTAGACTAGCAGGGATGGGGAACTTGCAGCTTTGAGGACACGTGTGGCCTTCTAGGTCCTTGGGCACGGCCTTTTGATTGAGTCCAAGTTTTACAGAACAAATCCTTTTATTAAGGGGGTTTGTTTGGATTCCCTCAAAGGGTCACACTTGAGGATCTAGAGGGCCATATGTGGCCTTGAGGCCGCAGGTTTCCCACCCCTGATAGGCTCACTACACAATAATATTTTTAATATTCACTACTTATAGAGTACTGGGTTATCCATCCTATTGTGACAAAAACATTCCAAAGTAAAATCATAACGTGAAATATACTAATGTTATTAGAAAGGGAGATGGTCAGTATCAAACTCTTAAAAGGCCATTTATATTAGGATTAACCTATCATTTCCTGGCTGTTAGCAGACCTGAACATAATATTAATGGTACTTGTAGAGGGATCAATTTTCTCTTTAAACCAAGTAATACAGAAGTCCCATACATGCACACACGAATCAAGACCAGTCATAGGCATCAATCACAAAGTTGTATCAGATTCTTCTTCCTCAGGGAATACATCTGGCCTAGGCAAAGAGCTTTGGCCTTGCTCTGCAGAGACAGTTTTACATATTCCTGTAAAGTGCCATAAACCTTGGCCTGAGATTATGTAAAACCCATCCTAGACCCCCTCCCACTAAAAGTCTTTGCTGTAAAGTGGTCACAATTCTAGGTAAAGCACTGTAGCTAAGGATTTGGCATGATTTCATGAATTAATTGCTTACTCCGTGGCAGACACTGTGCTAGGTAGGCAACTGAGGAATATACAAAGAAATGAATGAAAGTGCATTCTACTTATGGGTGGCAAGGTCACACCATGCACAAAAGCAACTATAATAAAGTTAATTGGAAGAAGAAGAGGAAGAACACCAGCAGCTGGTGGGATCAGGGAAGATTTCACGGTGAGACTGTATTTGATCTGGGCTTTTAAGGAAGGCAAAGATTAGGAGAGGTTGAAATGAGGAAAAATTGCATTCTAGACATGGGAGTTCTCTGGGAAGGCACCAAGGCAGCAGATGTAGCACTGAGTTGGTACGGAGAAGAGATGGTAATAGTCCAGTTTGGCTGCAGTGGTGAGCTCTTGAAAGAGGAGTGGGATAAAATGACCTGGAAGGGTAATCACAGGCCAGAATCTAAGCCAAGATAAGTAATTTATATTTTATCCTAAAGAAAAATAGGGAACAAATGGATGCTGCCATTTTTCAAAAATAATATTAAGTAGCTTACAAATTCTAAAATACAATTTATTATCCATTTAGTCAGAAATTTTAACAACATCCATCAATGTCTTTTTTTTTTTTTTGGCTAGGCAATGGGGTTAAGTGACTTGCCTAAGGTCACACAGCTAGTAAGTGTTAAGTATTAAGTGTCTGAGGTCAGATTTGAACTCAGGTCCTTCTGACTCCAAGGCCAGAGCTCTATCCACTGTACCACCTAGCTGCCTGATCAATGTCTTTTGAAATGATCATAATAGGAAATACTGTGATACCTTCAAATTAATTATTTAAGCCCCAGATATACAAAGCACTTAAATCTTACAGTCCTCCACAACTTGTACATTCTAAATCCTCAGCCTCTCTTCATGCTCACTCACATGCACAGTGAGAACAATTCCCTAAAAGAATGGCATTATTTTCCTAAAGCTGGTCTTAACCTCAGGGGAAGCATCTTCAGCTGACTGCCTCGCCTCCTTTGCCTCTAGGAAGGTAAATGAAAGTCAGTGAAATTGACACAGCCCACACAGCAGGAGAAATTAATTTACCAACTTAGAGACACTGGCATAATTTAGGGCATCCATATTGGGGTTTCGCTGGTCTTTAATGTAGACATTTATCCACTTCATCTTTTTAAATGTCTTTTTTTATTATATCACACACACAAACGCTGATGAAAACTATTAAACTAGAAAATATTTTACGAAAGTCATAAAATGTTGGTTTGCATTACATTTCAGGCAAGAATTATGGCTAATCAAAAGCCTGGCTCATTATTTGTTTCATCTCTAGTTTGGTTTCTATATTGTAGCTTTGGTGGATTTTCAAAAGGTCATTCCCTACTATGCCTTCATCTTCAGGAGGATTGTGTCCCAGGGTCCCAGAACCCATAACTAGTTCCATTCTGGGAAAGTTGATACCTCCTATGAAATTACAATTTAAATGTTAATTGATAAACAACCTTAAATTCATAAAAAATAATCTAAATAAAAATACGAACACCATTAAGATATATGTGAGATAGACTTCTCTAAGATAGACATGAAATGAATAAATTAAAAGATAAAGTGAATAACTTTCATGAGAAATCATCAACTATGTGATTTTAGATTGGTAACAGGTAACAGTTATTTTCCTCCTATTTTCTTCAACATTTTTTCTAGCAATGTTTTTGAAATACCTTAAAAGTAGGATTGGAATATTGAGTTGAAGGAAATTAGCTATTCGCTCTCAACACCAAATGTGCAATGAAAGCATTTTTTTCTCTATTTATGTAAAACAGACTCTGTGCCTTAGGAGAATTATGGGATTGGAGAAAAGGTGAACCTTGTGTTAAAAATTTTGTAATAAAACAGGATTTCTTACCTCTGCTACAAGTTGTTGAAGAGAAGGAGATGCTATAGGATGCAGGCTTGAGTTACCCTTTATAGGGTTATGAAGGCTGACGTAAGCCACAACATTTTTCTGAAGCACTTTCTTGAAATCCTGCAATCAAAACAAGTACCTATTTTTAATATAGACAATGAACACTGAATAGAGTTTTCTTTCTGAAGTTTTGGTTGGAGACCAAATATACTTTGGTTTATATCTTTTCTCCTACTTGGGATTATAGGATCCTTAGATGTTGCGTAAACCAGCCCTTTCATTCCACATTTGGGGAAGTTTAGGCCCACACAGGTGAATTATCTTTACCAAGGTCATACAAATGGTAACTGATAGAACAAGGATTCAGATGACAGAAACTTTGACTCCAAATTCAGTGCTGTTTCCATTTGTGTCTATTTATAACTCATTTTCAAACACTGTCTCATAAATCGATTGAAGCTACCTCACTTACCTTTACTCTTCATTACAATGAACAGTTTTAATTGTATAAAGTTTTAATTGTATTACATGTATGTTAATAGAGTAGAAATAGTCTGCAAAAAAGGAAAAAAAAACTAGTTCTAAGGCAAAATAATGGAGATTAATAGACTAGGGCTCAGGTGATGTGAGTTCTGGCATGATTTGAATTTGCCACCACCCTAGCTACAAGACCCTTGGCAAGTTATCTCCCTTCTCTATGTTCCAGTTCACTGAATGGGTGTTGCTTAAGTCAAAGCGAGAACTCCCTTAATCTAGAAAATGAGTGACTTTCAGATTCTATTACATTCTATGAAGTATGCTTCAACTTGTGCTTAAGAGAATATATCCTATGAAATATACTTTGACTTATGCTTAAGAGAAGTTATATTTCATGAGTAAATATTGTCAGAATGATAATGTACTTGAATTTTTAATCCAAGAATTTAACTTCAAAATGGAAAGGCCTATTTTCTTCAATGATGTCATTAGTTTGATTATAATTGAGGTAGAGATGTGGTAGGTCCAAGCCACTTTAATGGTTCCAAAAATAAGTTCTTTCCTTTGTAATAACAAGCTCTTCTTTTTGTGAAGTAGCTTTTCAGATAGAGGAAAAGGGAATAATATCATTTAATCCTCCTTTCTCTCTCCACTACTCAAAATGCCTGATAATTTCTATTTTGTGATCTTAACATTCAATGAGGGCACCAATCAGATTTTCTATTCCAGTTATTGGAGGGTCCCCTTGCCCTCTAGTGTATGGTGGATACTACTGGAAATAGAGGTTGAAGGACAGACATGCAGAAGTATCTGTACTGTGGGAAATGAAATCCTGAAGGAGGTATTTTCCTTAACTCTAATTTTCTATGTAAACACCCCCTTAATTTTTAAGTCATCTCTATTAAACTATACTGAAATTTCATGCTTTAGCTTGTTTCTACAATAATCATTTTTTTTCTCACAATATACTAATTGAAAGCACAATGAACTCTCACCTACCTTAAATAAACAATTGACTTCTGGCCTTTGGAGTTTGGGATGAGCAAAGCTATCACTGAAGTAGAAATCTTTTAGACAATGTCAGGCCCTGATCACGCTTCACCTATATGTGTTATTGCATTAGCGTCCTAATTGGTCTTTCCCATCTCACTTCTTTCTAATCCATCCTCTATATTGCTGCCAAAACTAAATTCAGAAGGCATTTCTTAAGCACCTACTATGTTCGAGGCCTCTTGCTAGGAAATGAGCCAAGACCAATGGACTAGTCACATACTATGATGATGGTAACATACCTCCCTGAGGAAGGAAGATAAACTTATCAGGGATTTATCAGTTACATTTACTAATGAGGAAGAAAGAAAGTAACTCTAGTGAAGATATTGTGTGATGAGATTTCGACTCTAGAACTCAGACATAAATTTAGGCAACTCCCTGATATCTGAATTACTCTAAATCTTGCTTTGAAGTTTATTGACCATTAGTACCTAATCTGCTTAATTATAGCTTTGAGTTTCCAGGGATTTCGGTGTAAGTAGAATTAAATAGTAGAATATGACAAATCAACAGAGTTTTATGGCCTCCTCTGCTCCAGAGATGATGGATGATCAGAGAAAGTAAACTAGGCTGGGGAGGTGGAGTGCAGAATGGAAAAAAAAAAAAAAAAAGATCTATCCCCAGCACGAAGTGCTTTTGACATAGGAATTTAATAGGGAACAGAGAAAAGAAAATAGATAGCTTTCTAAATCACCATAACTTGGTTATTCTGATAAATGCCAGCTGAAACGATAAACATACTATGAGGTAATTCTCTAAGATCACAGATGTACGCTGAAGTATACTATGCATTTAATAGGATTGATGGATACATAGAAACATGATTGATACTACATTTATGAACTCTCGAACACTTACTAGCTGTGTGACCCTGGGCATGTCACTTCACCCTGTTTGCCTCAGTTTCCTCATCTGTAAAAGTTGCTGGACAAGGAAATGGCAAACACTCTAGTATCTTTGACAAGAAAACCCCAAATAGGTTCACAACGAGTCAGATACAACTCAACAACCAAAAGACCACATTTAGCTATCTCTTATCAGAAGATGTCAGATTTAAAATCAGAAGGGGCTTTAACAGTCATCTAGTCCAACCTTTTCATTATCATTTTAAATTTTTATTTTTATTTTTATTTTTTTTTTGGTTAGGCAATGGGGTTAAGTGACTTGCCCAGAATCACACAGCTAGAAAGTGTTACGTGTCTGAGGTCAAATTTGATCTCAGGTCCTCCTGAATCCAGGGCCGGTGCTCTATCCACTGTGCCACCTAGCTGCCCCAAACCTTTTAATTTTACAAGTGAGGAAATTGGGGACATAATAAGGAGTTATGGACAGAACACTGGCTTGAGAGCTGGATTCTCTGGGTTCTAAGCCTGGTTCTGCTTATAATATGCCGCAGGACTTTGATCAAGCTGCCCTGTTTCTGAGCCTCATTTCCCTCATTGTATTCCACCACAATTTATTAAGGGACTACTCAGTGCAAGGCACCCATGATAGGTGAATAAAGGGCTAGCCATATTGACACAAAGGCCTGGGTTAAATCCTGCCTCTCATATACTAGCCAGTAACTTTGGTCAGATCTTTTTACCTCTCAGTGGCCCCAAGCAACTGTCTCAGACTATAATTGGCAGAACAGGTAGATAGATGATCCTCCTCCCCAGGAGTTTCCTACACCAGTGAAATAACAAGTTTAGTCCAAAAAAGAAGGGCCAGGCACTAGGTATATGAAAATGAAAAATGACCTATCCCCTGTGCTCAAGGAGGCCTTTTCTACAAGGAAGACTTCTTGGATAGGGTAGAACCTCATCAGTCATTTAGGGAATAGAAGGATTTTAACAGGTAAAGACTTGGAAGGAATGCATTCCAGGCATGGAAAAAAAAATACATGTATACATGCATGGAGACGGGGGGAAGGACAAGAATGAGGAATAGTATAATTTGGAGAGATCTTAGAGTATGTGAAAGGCAGTGTGCCATACAGAGCTGATTTCAGAGTGAGAAAGACCCTTCTTCAAGCCTTGCTTCTGGAACATACTGGCTGTGTGACCTTTGACTGTCAGGCAGCTTTCTAAAATCATTTGGGGCTGATCTTCATTGGTTGAGTTTCCTCATCCAGCAGGTCCCAAACCAATGAAATAAGAGGTCTTATCCCCAGCCTTAAATTTCATGAAGAATAATAAGGTAATTTTAGGTTTGTTAATGGAGAAACTATAATGGCAGGGCACGGTGGATATTTTGCCCCACAAACAGCAGAGAGGTGCTGAATGTTCTTTAGTAAGGAAGTGTCATGGTCAGCTGAAAGAAAGAAGATTTTTGTCAGCATGGGAAGTGCATCCTGGTGGTGATACAGTAGGTAGAACTTACTATGTGCCAGACACCGTGCTCAGTGCTTTAAATATTATCTCATCTGATGCTCACAACAATCCTGGGAGGTAGGTGCTATTATGATCCCCATTTTACAATGGAGAAAACTGAGGCAGACAGAGGTTGTGTGACTTGTTCAAGACACTTTGGAATAAGCCTGGGCCTCCTCAGCTTCATGTCACAGTGCAATCTCTGTCACATGGTGCGGACATGTCAGGCCTCTGCTAACTTGTAATACATTGCCTCCAACTGGACCAGATAATTGCAAAGACTCTTCCCAGTTTAAATTAAAACAAACACACACACACACACACACACACACACACACACACACACACACACA